TCATATTATAAATGATGTTAGCAAAGAAAATTGTTTCCTTTTTTGTTACCTCGTTTACGCGTTAAAACTAAAGAAAATGATGTTCGTTTTCGTGGACATAATAACTAATGAAAAATATTTTGATAAATAAAGTATATTTGAATAAATATATTTACTGGTGTATTTTTAGATAGATTATCTTTAAAAATACCATTTTCAATTAGCTTTCTTTGCATTTGTTCATGTGTAATTTTTGATGAATATCGTTGTTGTTTTAATATTTGTTTCATTTGTGCTAAATATAAAACATAGTAACAAAAAAAAACAAAATTAAACATATGTTTTTCTTTACCATAATATTCATCAACCGTTATTAAACCAATATTATGAAGAAAACATTTGATCTAGATTAAAGATAATAAGAATTATTATTTTATTATTATATTCTTTCATATTTACATCTTCTGGTTCAGCACCGGGAATAAAATCATTCTCCATTTATCTAAAATCTATAGAGTTTAATTACATAGTGACCAAAAAAAAAAAGTTAAAATTTATATTTCTCGAGAATATATGCATTATGCAGATTTTAAAATGAATGTCGTGGTCTAGAAAATTTAATTTTCAAATTTCGACTTAACACAGACCTTAATGAAAGTAGTTTATAGTGAAAGTTTCAAGTCTTTTGATTTATCTTGAAATAAGAGCATAAAATCAAAATATGAAACATTCACAAAAAAAAAAAATTCTTGTTAAGGGCTGTCGCAAGTCGAAATGCAAAAATCTGTCATTCAACTGTGAAATATCGTAGAAGTGTAGCAATAACCTAAGAGTATGTACTCTTCTAACACATAAACGAAACGTGTATTTAATATGGGATCAAAAACTTAATTTTGATTTTCCATAGCGAAAAACAAAAAATTACCATCAGATTGTATTTTTTTTTTAATATTAAAGAATATTCTCAAGATTCCAGCATATATATTGTCTATCAATCGTAGATACTAAAAATCTATAAGGGAATAGCAATCATAGGAAAAATATGCTTTTCGAAGTCCATTTGAGGTAGATTAAGCTAATTTTTTCGTTCCATTTCGTTTGCTCTTGTATGTTGCCAAAACATAGGAGATCATTAGAGTAGCCTAATCGCTAAAGATTTTTTACTCATGCTTAGATTTAGTCAAGATAGTGACTTTCTATTAGATTTCGCCTCCAGAAACCCAATCTTTGAGAAAATATATGTGCAGGAGTATCGACCTGAAACTTCACACGCATGAAAGTCTTGATTAAACTATCTCATGTAAAAAATTTTATCAGTTTTAGATATCCTATTGTATACAAAGTTTCAGATTAAGATCCCGAAATATAATTTCTTTTTCTCCGAAAACTGAACTCCTGCAAAAAGAATCTACTTAAAATTTATTATCTCAACCAAATTTAAGCAAGTACAGAAAATTTTTGCAGATTACAATACTCTAGTGACGTCTTATATATTAGCAAAATATGCGAACAAACAATGTGATTCACTTAGCAATCTTCCCTCGTGAATAAAAATGAAAAAAGACATTTCACTGGCAACATGATGACGACTGACGATTTACTATCTCCCTAAATTTGATACTGGTGTTTATCATCAATAAGCAATTAGTTTTTTCAAAGACATTTGCTTATTGAAAAAGAAAAGAGAAAATAACAACAAGAAAAAAGAATGAAACTATAACTTCAATTTTCTAGTTCTTCTTCATTTTCATCATCATCAACAAATGTATAATTTTCTCTAATTTTTGCTGTTTTGGCATATTCAAATTGTTCAACACCATAAGCATTCGACATTAAATTAGTTCGTTGGGATAAATCATCATCTTTTAAATATCCAAATATAAAACCATTTGCTTTATCAATTGTATTATTAACTTTTTCAATACTTAAACGATCTTGAACATTTAATGGTATATATGAAACAAGACTATAATCTTGTATAATATCACATAATGATTGATTAAATTTTTTATATTTTTTAGCAAGTTTTGGTTGAAATTTATCTTTATTAAAATTTTTATTTTTCATTAAATAAGATAAATCTAATACATCAGTATAAAAATCAATATTATATTCTAATGAACCAAATCTTTCAATAAGATCAATTTTAGATAATATATTTACATGAGGTAATTCTAAATGTAACATCATTGATAATGATGTTAATAGAGCACTTATAAAATTTGATGAATTTGAACAATAATATGAATCAATTAAATTAACACAACAAAGTCTTAAATCAAGTTTTTTTAATAATTTTTCAATTATTCGATGTATTGAACCATGATGTGTATAAAGTTCAGTTTGTCCTGGACAATCAAAAAGAATATATGGTGGAGATAATGTTGATGAATGTTTATCAATTAATAATTGAAGACGTTTTAATAACCAATCAATATTATTTTCAATATATTCAATACAATACATTAATGAACCATTTGGACCTAAATTAAGATTATCACATACATCATCAACTGTTATTAAATCAACTAAATCTATTGCACATTCATATGGCATATCAACATTAGCTGCATCTAAATTAACTATATAAATATGACGACTACTATGACCATTAATACATTTATTAAAATAATCTTGTATTGCTGCACAATATGTTGTTTTACCTAAAGAAATAATGATCATTTTTTTATGTGAGAAAAAAAAAAGAATTCATATGTTATATTATTATTACCACTGCCTGGTGGACCAACAACAAGTTGACCGAAAATAACTGTCATTTATATTTAATCTAAAACTATCTACAATCTTGTTTTATTCACCCTCTATTGTTAAATAATTAATGATGAAAATACATAATAGATTTTTATTTTTTTTAAGTATACACGGACAAAAACAAAACAACAACAACAAAAGAAGAAAACAAAAAACTTGTCAATGTCAAATAAAATAACACAAATCAAATTAATGGAATCAAAATGAACAACAAATACTGAATAATGACTATAATGTTCATTGTCCAGTTTTCGTATAATAGACTAGAGAAATAGACGTAACAAGAAAAAAGAAAAAAAAAACAAATGAGATTTTCTTTTCCTTTTCAATCAAAAAATAAAAACAAATTATGTATAAGTAGCTTCACAATAGATAATTAAATAAATAAATAAATATATATATAAACTTTCCCCATCCATCACCAATAAAACAAACAAAAAAAAACAGAATGACTAGATATATTGTACAAAAACAAAAACAAAAAATGAAAATATTATTCAATCAGATCTCGATTATTCATAAAACGACGAACAGATACATTTATTGGTAAATGAAAATCAATTGAAGTTAAACGATCAAGTGAATGTAGTGCATCATGAAAACCTTTTATATAAAAAGCAATTATTAGAAAGAACAAAAACAAACCAAATTAAATAATTTTCTACCTGTTGCTTTTGTATAACTCCAAGATTGATAATAATTTTCAACCAATGGTACTGTCTTTAAAATAGTACGTAGAAACGAAACAAGTTTTTTTTCACTAAATAATAAAAATAATTTTTTAGATAAAAAAAAAATAACAAATAATACATTAATCTGTTCTAATGTCTGTGCCAGACTTAAAGAATAGGTGTAAGCTCAATAACTCGACAATAGTCAAAACTTTTTAAAAACTCATCATCTTACGAGGGAACCGCCCGAAGTGATTCAAAGCTTTTAAGCCGATAAGTAGAGTCCAATGAGACTAGGAAAAGTCAAAAATGACAAGGACCCATGGGCCTTCCTTCTCGAGTTATGATCATTTTACTGGGTTTATCACCTATGATACGATATTCACCGAAAAATCAAATTAAGGAGTTTCCACCTGAAATTTTGCCCACATGTAGGTCTTGTGGCTTGTATATTAGCCTGAAAGTTTAAGCCAAAACGAAAGCGCCATTCTCGAGATATTGCAATCTCAAGAAAACAGTGCCATGGTCCATACATACCAAAAGAATCGACTTTTCTTGAAAACTTAATATTTCGAGAACAGTGCATTCGTTTTGGCTTAAACTTTCAGGCTAATATACGGGCCACANAAAAAAAAAAAAACAATTTTTTGAAACACAAACTTCTTCATTATCAGTAGTTGTAATTGATGAATTATCATCATCATCATCATCGTCATTATCTGTATGACCATGATTATGTCGTGAATTTGTATTTGCTAATCTTACAGCACTGAGAACTTTTTCAATAGCTACTTCAAGTTTTGCTCGAATATCACTAAGAGAAAAAAAAAAAATTTTTTTTTTATATACGTTTGTTGTTGTTTATTTTGTATACCCAAAATGTTTTTTCGCAACAATATCTTTTTTCATATTTGGTGTTGGTTGATTTGATTTTTTTTGCATCGATCTTGTACCACATGTTAATAATAAAAATGTATATAGTTGTGTAAGTATAAGAAATTTTTTCATTGTTTGAGAAAAATTTGTTTGATTTTCGGAAGATAATCTATTTGTTGTTTGACGCATTTTTAATGGACTTGATGTTGTTGTCTAAAAAAAAAATGTAAAAAGTATATTGAATGAAAATAGAAAAGAGGACTATGAAACAAACCGGATTTGATTTATTTGGTGAGGATTTTGATGATTCGATACTTTTTTTATCATTTATTGAAAGAGATGATGAAGCAGCTGCTGCAGCTGCTGCTACATTGGCTGAATCAGCTAAAATATGAAAAAAAAACAAATGATTTGATAAGAATTTGTTTGTATCGTTTTTACCTTTAAGAAATTCAATAAATTTTTCAAGATCATTTATTTGTGTACGCATTTGAGTTATTAAATTCTCTTTTAGTTTTACTGGATTAGTTAACTAAATATAATAGAATTTAGTATAATAGAAATAGCTTTTTAACTATAGTAAAAATAAATGACAGAAACTATTAAATATAATAAATTCAATCGACTATATATTTTACAAATAATCATTAATCTTTCTATTCATTGATAATATACGAACAAAAGATTTATGGGTAAATACATAAGTAAGTGAGTAAATCATTTTGTCAATCAAGGTAAATATTATTTTAAGACATATTAAAAAAGAAGAAATCAAGTTACCTGATGAATAGCTTGATCAACAAGTTTTCTTAATTCTTCCGCTCTAAATCAAAATTCAATAAATAAAGATGAAAAAACAAATTGTGTTTGTTTGTTTGTTTCTAAAACTTAATAACATACGATAATGTCGAAACTGAAGCATCATCTAATTGTAAATCAAGTTTAGTACGTAGTTGATCAATAAGTACACGTTGTTTTTCCATTGTTACAGATGTTGGTACACCTTCTAATGAACCGGATGCAGCTGCATAATGTTCTAATTCATCTAATTTTTGTTTTAATTCATTAATAAATTCTTTTTCACGTAATTTTTCATTTTCAATTAATTCTTCATTCGTACGATCAGTCGTATACATTGATGATCGACACATAACATCCGGTATACCACTTGATGCAAATTCATGTAATTCTAATAGTAAATTCTAAAATAATAATAATAATAAAATAAAATATTTATATTAAATAATTTTCATACTTCACGATCTTCAGTTGTTGGTGCTGAAACAACTTGTTGAAGACGTAATTGTACATGTGCAAAATGACGAGTTAATGCTGAAAGTGATGCATTTAATCGTTCATGTTCTTCAAGTAAAACTAATTTTTCATTAAATTCTTCATTAGCACTAGAAATAAATGAAAAATAAAAGTTTATTTATTTAAAAATCAAATGATTAAATAAACCTTTTTCCATATTCGGTATCCGATGAAGCACCACCGATCGGTGTTAGTCTTCCCGTCATCGGTAATCTTTCATCACTTGAATCTTCTTGTAGCATGTTTCAGATCAAAGAAGAAGAAGAAGAAGAATAGAAAAAAGAAACAGAAGAAAAAGAAAAATATCTCGTTTACTAACACATCCGCCTACGCATGAGAATGACGTACATAGATCAAAGTAAATTAAATGTATGATAGCGCTGTATTATATAATTGAAAAAGAATAATTATCTAGAATTTTTTCTTTAAACATAGGAATTTAATTATATTGAAAAATTTTTATTTTATTTTTTTTATTCTTATATAAAAGTTAAATTTTACAATAGATGTCACTAAACTATAGACTAAATCGAAAAAACTTTAAAAAAGTTTTTCAAAGTTCGAAAACGTATTTTTATCAATGTAACATTACTTGGATCGGCTGTCTAGATGTTTAATGTGTATACTCTGAATATCAGTCTCAGTCAATGCAGAAATATGTGAGGCAACAGTTTTGCATTAGGAAAATTACAATTAATTTTGACACCCTTTATGCAAGAGTGATTCCGTTCAAGCTTCAAAAATTTTCGGTTTTTTCCAATGAAACTGAGTGGTTTTCTTGTTTTTTTTTCCTCATTGATTTTCCAACCCTTAATATCATAATGGCATTAATCAAAAAATATTTCAATATCATCCGAAGTACTATTGGATATAATACATGTGAAATACTGTCTCATCATTATTCTTTATTTCAACTGTGCAACAAATAAAAAATTCATTCGAAATTAATTTTTTCTATTTTCATTTCTTTGTTTGTTTATTGATTTGTGCATATTCAAAATTAAATAATAAAATACAATGCGAATCGGTCGTTTTTGGTAAAAACAATCGGAGCCGGATTTCGGAATGAAACGATCTGACTTCGCAAATCTCTATTACTCAGATGTTCACTGCCGAGATGTTTTAGTCAATGGAAAAATTACATGAGATTTTCGAAAAAAGAAAATTTTAATGGAAATACGCGATATCTTTTTGAAAATTTTATATTTTTTATTCAAGATTCGACCCATGAACGACCATCACAATATCCAATCGGTCCGACTCAGCTCATTGAGGTCTCTGAACCTTACCTTCTCAGTAGTTGACATTCCCTCCCTAATACGTGTCTTTTCTCTTTTGGCTTCATTTCATAGAGTTTTCGATCATAAATTGATGCAGTATTACAAGCATGCTTTATTGTACCGTACACAGTTGACAACAGTCTTCGAATAGTCTAAAAATTCAAGTAATCGACGTTTACGATCGTAATATTAAGCCTACCAAAGGTATAAAAAACGCCCATTTATAATCGCGCTTATTTAGCTTAGGATGTTGAAATATTATATTTTGTTCTGTTTTTCTCGTTTAAATACTATCAGTATACAACTTTATCTCTTACTACAGAGAAAATTTGAAGATTAATTGATATGAAAATGACATAAAGATCGAATTATGTAACGTTCTTATTTTAATCTGATGAGCATATAGATTTAATCAAATTTTGAAATCTTTTGATTTATCAAAATAATATTTTTGATAACAAAATATAAAGATTGCGAAAGCAGAGAGTTGTAGTACCCACTCAACTTCAAGTTCTTCGCGCGACTTCTATTCAAATGTGACAATAGTCAAAACAATACAAAATTTTCATTTTATATTGTTTGTGATTAATACGAGCACATCTCAAGATATATATATATATATATACATGAGAAAAAGAAGTTCGATTTGGGTAAATATTTAAATTAAGAAGAAAATTTTCATTATTAAAAATTTTTCTCAACGAATAATTCCTTAAAAAAAAAAAACTAATCCATAGAAAAGAAAAGACAAGAACGACATAAAATAAAATATAATTTCATTTTTCTTATTGACTTATGTTATCAGAAGATAAAGTAAAGACAAAAACGAAAGAAAGACAAAAACTACAACATATAGAAATAAAACAAAAAAAAAAACGTCATGCTAGTATTATCATCAGAAATATTGAATATTCTTGTACTTGTTGCTGTCATATTAGCAGGTATAACATTCATCGCAGTTTCAATTGTTATTATATGTTTTCTATGTATTAAATATCGTTCTCCGAAAATAACTACTGATGAAGAACATTTGTCAGTAAGATCTCCTACGTCGCATAGTTCTCGTTCGTCACCTGCTCCTTCTCCATCATCCTTATCGTCATCATCATCATTAAATGTATCGTCATCAACAAAAACTCCTGTATTGACAGTTCCTAAAAAAAAACAACCACCAATACCATTAACAGATTTTCGTTCCGATAGAATTTCTGTTATAGATGAAGTTACTTCTGATGATGAAATCGAAGATAAACGAGTTAATAAGCATGACAAAAATTACGATACGATAGTTAGAAATGACACTCGAGTAAATACTCAACGTTATATACACAGACAACAACAAGAAAAACCAATAACAGATGTCCGAGTTATTAATCGACATACACCCTATCCAGATGATGTTATTCAACGTGAACGAGTTATGATTGCTAATCGTGGATTGGGAAGAAGTACAATATATGATCAATAATATAAACAAATCTTTTCTTTCTTTCTTCTTTTTTCTTTTTTATAAACAACATGACAATTCTTGAATTGACTCAATCAATTGTGGTCGCTAAAAATAAACAACAAAATATATAGTTAATAACAAAGATTTTTTCAAAAATAAAGATACATTATGCATGCGTTCAAACAATTATTCTATTTCATAAGAATAAATGTTCGACTTATAATTCATTTGTTTTTTCAAATATAAACTAATACATTCTTTAGTTTTTTATATAGATCTTTTCCATGTATGAAGGCTAGTAGCGATTTTATATATGAATTTAAGCTATATTTTTCATGATGTTATTCTGTCTTCTATTTATATATAACAATTGACATCAATAAAATTATTTTCATTATATGTCTTAAAATTCGTTGAAATCTTGATATACTTAAAAATGATTATAATCAATTATTAATAATACCAACCCGTTTACAATAATCAATAAAATCATTTACTGTTATTTGTTCATTGTGCATTGGATCAATACGCTAGAAAAGAAAAAACAAAGAAACACATTTTTAAACTACAAACTAAAACTTTCTTCATCTATTGAAATCACACAAATATAAGGTAAAGGATAGGAAAATTCCTGTTTAGTTTTTTTTTTTTTGTAGTTTCACTGTTTGATAATCATTTTTTAAGATGAAAAAAATCGATTATTTTAGGACACATTTCTTCATTATTCTTTTATTGAATTCTCGAGAAATGCAATAGGGAATTATAACGAACCATTATTGATATATAATCTGTCACGATCTTTAGGGATTCAAATTTTTACTCCTATACTTCAATTCGTGTTTTAGATCGTATTTTCTTAAAAATCTTATCGTCACATACTTCGAATATTTCATCAACATGTTGTTGAATTTCACGTTCATTAATAGGCGTATGACCTGATGAACCAAGAAGTTCATTGAGTGACAAAAGAATTTCATTAAGATTCTAAAAATATACATTTAATATTGATATTCATTATGTAAGAAATTATAATACTGTTCGTGTCATATGTCCTTCACCATGGATATCGTAGAAACGAAAAATCCATCGTAATTTTTCATCAATCGTACCACGACATAGAACAGATAATGTTAGAATATAATCCTAAAAATAAAATTTAATTACAACAAAAAAACAAAAAAAATTTCTTATGAAAATATACATCAAATGTAAATGTTCCTTTATGATTTCGATCAATCATTGAAAATAGATAACGAGTATATTTAATTGCATCTATGAATTAGCATTAATAGATAATTAATAATTCTTTTTTCTTTGTCTTTTATTTATCGCTTACTGCCTTGTGGAAAAAATTGTAAATAAATTCCACGTAATCTTTCTTCATTAACATTTCCACCTGGACATTCCTTTCGAATATCAAATAAAAAAATAAGACAAATAAATTTAAGCAAAAACAAAAAAAAAACAAAATAATGCTTTCTACTTGTTTAAAAGTTCGATAAAGAAGTCGAATTTCTGATTTTGAAAAACGTGTACATTTCATTATTTCTTCAATTGATCGAGGATGTTGAAGACTTCTTGACAGTAATGCATCCAATTGTGCATCTACATTAAACATACAATGATAAAAGAAAAAAGTAGAACATATTTTGTTTATAGAAAATATGTTTAGATAAAAAGAAAACAATGATTTTAACGTACCTTTTGTCGTTTTTTTACGTTTACCAAAATTAAAACTACTCTGTCCATGAGAAAATGCAGCTATATTAGCACCCATTGTTATTATTAAGCACCAAGGGCATCAAACAAAGAAACAATTTTGAGTAACTCAACATTTACACATCACTATCTTTATCCTTTTCTTTGAATTGACTACGGCTTTCTTATATGATTAGATGAGATCGATAGAACTGATGGCATTGAAGACGAGCGATTGACATTTTGATCGCTCTTTTCAATACTATGATCGTTAATTCTACATGAGTATAGACATCTACACATGTGGATTATCCGACTAGATCTATATATAAGAATGACAGCGGAATATAAAAAAAAAACAAGAAAAAAAAAAAAAAAAAGAAGAAATCGTCGATTAAACGTCTGTTTCCAATCGGAAATCTACTATATTATCAATAATGTTATCTGTATGATGAATGACTTTTATCGTAAATATACAATTTCTAGAAGAATAAATAACAAGTCATATTCTTTTAGGATATAACAACATACTTAGTCTTTTCATTTATGATTAATAACAAATCATATAGAAACAAATATTATTCCTATTTACAAAATAGTTGCTAAATATTATATAAAGTTTTGATTAGATATTAAAAAAACAAAACAAAACAAAAAAAAAAGAAAAGAAATGACAAAATCTATCAATGAATTCAACTAAATGAACCAAATGCAACCCATTCATGTCCGAGCTATTTTCAATAATTCAATTATCATAATAATGAGATAGATTCTATTATAACAAAAAAAAAATTTCTTCAACAACAGAACTGTCGTGATCGTCCAAAGATTCGGAAATGAATAAGTCATTTTTTAAAGAAAGTTCGAATTTACATTTTTTGAGATTTTCAACGAAGAACAACACATTAGATAATTTTCTTAGATGAATAAATAGTTCGTTTTTCAACTAGTGACACTTTTGTACAACAGTATAAATTAATCTTTTTTTTTGCTTTGTAATCAAGTAACAATAGTTCAAAAATTCTTCAGTTTTTTTTTTTTTTTTTTTTTTTTATCAATGAACGAAGACACAATTAACTTTCTTTGACTATGAATACAACTAAAAGTCTTCATCATACTATTATTTTGATTTATTTCTTTTGATAAATGCAATATAATGATAAAATTACAATAGCAAAGAAATAACTCATGGATTCGAATGAATGAAAATATTTTGTATTCAATAGAGTCGAATGACATACAAAGAAAAAATCGAATACATATTCTGATCATGTTATAACTCTCGCTCAGTGCTAATTTCTTTCTTTTTCTTTCCATTTATTGCTTCTTATTCGTTCTTGATTGCTTTTGTTTTCTAAGATTATCTGCCTACTATATAAAACTTGTTATGTATATAAAATAGATATCTTTTGAAGGATATATAATAGTTTAATAAATGTCATTATTCAAGAGTAATGGTAAGTTATACGTTTTATTTGTGATTACAATAAATCATTTGTCTTACGATTGATTTTCTCTCATTTGACTTCCGAAAAAAAAAAAAACATATAACAATAAAAAAGAAATACAATTTATTTGTAACCATGATTTTTTTTTGTATTTTCTTTTTCTATCAGAAAACTACTATTCATCAATCATAAATTTTTTCAATCAAAAAAACCAATGTCGAACAAATCAATAGAATAAGAAATTCAAAAATGAATAGAAAAAGAAATATTTATACCTGATGTATGTATACGACGAACAACTCGAAATATTCCAGTACTTAAACGACGTGAAAAACGTTTACAACTAGCAATTATACGAGATGTTCGTCGATCAGTAGTAATCAATGTTGAATGATACCAAGACATGATTTTATTTATGTCTAAAATAGTAATAATATAAATAAAGAAACAATAATAAATATATGTCACTTTTATTTATCTTTATATTGTGTCTATGTTCTATTATTAATAGAATGATTCTTTCTAACTTACACTTCTTTTTCATATGTTATTATATTTTGTGTTTATACAAGAAACAAATAATAGGAAACAAAAGAGAAAAGGAAAAAACCAGGAGCGATCGTCAAAAAAAAAAGAATCTAAGTGTTTTTCACATCTACTAATGCTTCATTTCTTCTTTTTCTGTGCATCTTTTTTTCTAGAATCTGTTTGATTTAGCTATCGTCATTTTCTATATGATTGAATCTGTGCACGGAAATGTTTAGATGAAGATGAGTTTTAATAGCCGGATTATTGCGACTTCATAAAGATTTATATTGATTGACATTTTTTTCTCATATATATATATATATATATATATATGCAATTAGTATATTGTGATCTTATATAAAAGATTTCAGCATGATTAGCAAATATAGAGAAACTATTTCTACTATCAATTTTGATAGGAATATCAGAGAGACCTATGATTTTTACCATTGAAGAGAGAAAATCCGTGGCCATCGAAGTAGATTGAATTTTTTCGAAAACGATATTTTGAAGTTATTTACCTATCTATTTAGATTTTTAATAGGACTAGTTGATAGAAAAAATTTCTTGTCTTTCAATCTATAGAAGGCCAACATTCTTAGATTGAGAGCTATACAACTTCTTCAGAGAATTTTGATTTCAGCTAATTGATCTATGATCATACCGAAGAGTACGTAAGCAAGAATAATTCATCATGCTGACAAGGGAATTGTTTCAATTGATAAATCGTTTTGTGATCTCGGACTCTATGCATAAGATAGGTCTCAGTCAGGTATGAAACGTTCCAAAAAGATAAGTATCGCTTATAACTCTAAAAGGAAGATCGAAGAGCATTTATCCTTTTGAAACATTTCATATCTGAGTGGATTTTACCTTATGTACAGAGTCTGAAATCAAAAATGGTTCTCTCATGAGACTGATGGTAATATTTGTGAAATTTTACAATCAGTTTCTATATAATGAATGAGTCAACATTTCCGAAATATCGCCATTGGACTCAACGAGGTGAATAATCTTTGCTAGCCGCTTTCTCGGGTGATCAGGGCTCTCATAACTCTCGAACAGAACTTACCTGATTGGTCAATAGCTGACTAATCCAATTTTAACATACTCCAATGGGCCTGAGGCTTCTTTTTTGCACGATGAAAACCGCAGGTCTCGCGGATATTTCTATCGAAAGTTATTCAAAAGGCAGTAAGGCACATTATATTGTGAAATGAATAGTAAAAGAGGACAAAGCAAACAAAACAAAAAAAGTTAGAATAACATATTAGTCTTTTTTTCCATAAAAGTCATTACCTATAGGCATTGATATATAACGATGATAGACGTTGATTATAACTA